GTGAAACCAAAAGAGAAAATGCTGGACAGCCTGACATTTTGACATTCAAGATCAACGTGTCGGAACTGATTAAAACTACACAAAATAGAAGAGTGGACAGAAAGTATTATCAACACTGTATGATATAAAGTAAAAGAAAAAGAACCGTTTTGGTGCTGTTTACCCCCATCATTATTATCATCGTCATCAGTATCATTATTATAATTATCTATCGTCATCATCACATTATCATCATCTTTATCATCAGTATCATCCGTCATCATCGTCAGCATCATCTTCATCATTAACATCATTATCATTCTTTGTCATCATTTTCATAATTTACATCCTTATCATCCATCGTCATCATCGTCATGATTATAATCATTATCATCTAACATTATCTGTATCAACCATCATCAAAATTATCATCATCAATATCATCATCATCATCAAATACCTTGCCGATTGGCTGCTGAGTCATGCCATTTCACAATTCGTGAACTCCAATGTGATTAATAAACTCAACGTGCTGACTTCATTCCAAACCATGACAGGAGTCTGTCAAGAACTTCACACTGTCTTCCTATGTCTTTGTCCCCTTCCATTTTGTCTGCCTTTTACCCATTAATGAACTCCAATATCATTATTAAACTCATCGTGCTGGACCACAACCCATCAACAAAATCACGCCAAGTCGTCCTACCCTTTGCTATCGCATCCTTCTCGTCCCCTGTTCTTCCCTTCGTTTTAACTTCACTCTGTAGCTTCCCTCTCCATACGTTTTTTATTTGTATTTTGTTTCCTCTGCGATTCTGTACTTATTTCTATGCTGCTGGTAAATCCATTGCAATGACGACTTTCTAATTATACTGTTTTTCATATTTTCTCAAGGTGTGTCCTATCCAACGACAGCGTAATGCCCTCTCCTCTTGACTAAGTTGCTTAGTTTAATCCCAATGCTCAGTCTTGGTGATTCTATCATGCCGTTTGTTATGATGGTCTGGAGAGAAATATAATGGAGGGTGCCGTTTCCAGAAAACGAGGAAGATGACATTAGAGAGACATTGATTATGAAGCCACAGAGTCTTGTTGAATTGTCTAGAGAAAGAGTCACTTTCAGGCATGGTGTGATGAGAGCAACATTTTCTGTAAACAACAAGCTGATTGTTTGATTCATTCAATTCCTTTATTCTGCACAGGGACCAGTTAATGTTTGATTCATGCAATTCCCTTATTCTGCACAGGGACCAGTTAATGTTTGATTCATTCAATTCCTTTATTCTACACAGGGACCAGTTATTGTTTGATTCATGCAATTCCCTTATTCTGCACTGGGACCAGTTAATGTTTGATTCATTCAATTCTCTTATTCTGCACTGGGACCAGTTATTGTTTAATTCATGCAATTCCATTATTCTGCACAGGGACCAGTTATTGTTTGATTCATGCAATTCCCTTATTCTGCACAGGGACCAGTTAATGTTTAATTCATGCAATTCCCTTATTCTGCACAGGGACCAGTTATTGTTTAATTCATGCAATTCCCTTATTCTGCACAAGGACCAGTTATTGTTTAATTCATGCAATTCCCTTATTCTGCACAGGGACCAGTTATTGTTTGATTCATGCATTTCCCTTATTCTGCACAGGGACCAGTTATTGTTTAATTCATGCAATTCCCTTATTCTGCACAGGGACCAGTTATTGTTTAATTCATGCAATTCCATTATTCTGCACAGGGACCAGTTATTGTTTGATTCATGCATTTCCCTTAATCTGCACAGGGACCAGTTAATGTTTAATTCATGCAATTCCATTATTCTGCACAGGGACCAGTTATTGTTTAGTTCATGCAATTCCCTTATTCTGCACAGGGACCAGTTATTGTTTAATTCATGCAATTTCCTTATTCTGCACAGGGACCAGTTATTGTTTAATTCATGCAATTCCCTTATTCTGCACAAGGACCAGTTATTGTTTGATTCATGCATTTCCCTTAATCTGCACAGGGACCAGTTAATGTTTAATTAATGCAATTCCCTTATTCTGCACAGGGACCAGTTAATCAATATTTATAGTTTACCAGTAATTTCATGAGTTGTTCAGCATGTGCCCGCTTAACACAGCAGAGGAAATGACAAGCAACAAGGCAGATCCGAGCAAAAGCAAAACTATAGCTGCTAATTTACTCGTCCCCGTGTGGGATGCAAATTTGTTTTTTGAAGCCCCACCCTGGCTTCTGCCCGCAGTCCTGAATTTAACCGGGACATAGATATGGTCTAGCCATAGATATGGTCAAGCCGTAAATATGGTCTAGCCATAAATATGGTCTAGCCATAGATATGGTCTAGCCATAGATATGGTCTAGCCATAGATATGGTCTAGCCATAGATATGGTCAAGCTATAGATATGGTCTAGCCATAAATATGGTCTAGCCATTAATATGGTCTAGCCATTAATATGGTCTAGCCTTAAATATGGTCTAGCCATAGATAAGGTCCAGCCATAGATATGGTCCAGCCATAGATATGTTCTAGCCATATTTATGGTCTAGCCATAGATATGGTCTAGCCATAGATATGGTCTAGCCATAGATATGATATAGAAATAGATATGATATAGCCATAGATATCGTATAGCCATAGATATAGCCTAAAGGCTGAAAAGGGTTTCTGGGGCCTCTACACGAGTGATCCTTATCCGCATGGTGGCACTTTGTGTCACTGGGTGTTTGTCGCTTGTGTGATGTCCTAATGGAGTACAACTGAGTACCTACCTACTTTAGCTGCTGAAGATAGTTTAGTTGCGTATCCTTTACAGGACGTTGCAGAATCAACCCCAACAGCCCCTGGCTGGTGTGTGGTTTTCCTAGGCAAATTTACGTCCAGTACTTTGCCATGCTAAAGATAGAGCTCATGAAAAATACACAGAAACTAACAAAGAAGTTGGAACACATCCAGAAATTATTTTGCTATTTATGGAACTTCTTTAAAGTTGAGTGTTCTTAAACAAATTGGAAGCACTGAAAGTGAACACTTCCATTTTGAACGCACAGGAAATAAATAAATCGAGAGTAAAATACGCTAGATCTACAGTGCCACTTCCTTTCACTTGACGTCAACTTTCCCCAGCCTTTATAGTGAAACTTCATGATTATTGAAGACAGAGCAATCAGTAAGACAACAGTGTCTGTCTGAGGCTTCATGACACTTGAACATAGCTACAATTTAGATCAGAATGTCCGTTTCTTGTGCTGTCTAAGGTTTTTCTCTTTATTATTTATTATCGTGTAGAGAAAGGGCTGGTTCTCCTCAGATTGTTATACTCATGAATATACGAAAATAAATTGTTGAGATGTTTCCGATATATATTTCCAATGATAGACATTATTGGACACACAAGCAGGCAGACAAGCATAAACAAAGAGAAACAGACTTACAAATATACAAACAGACAAACAGACGGCAGGCAGACAGGTAGACAGACAGACAGACAGACAGACAGACAGACAGACAGACAGACAGACAGACAGACAGACAGACAGACAGACAGACAGACAGACAGACAGACAGACAGACATACAGACCGACCGACCGACCGACCGACCGACCGACCGACCGACCGACCGACCGACCGACCGACCGACCGACCGACCGACCGACCGACCGACCGACCGACCGACCGACCGACCGACCGACCGACCGACAGACAGACAGACAGATAGATAGATAGATAGATAGATAGATAGATAGATAGATAGATAGATAGATAGATAGATAGATAGATAGATAGATAGATAGATAGATAGATAGATAGATAGATAGATAGATAGATAGATAGATAGATAGATAGATAGATAGATAGATAGATAGATAGATAGATAGATAGATAGATAGATAGATAGATAGATAGATAGATAGATAGATAGATAGATAGATAGATAGATAGATAGATAGATAGATAGATAGATAGATAGATAGATAGATAGATAGATAGATAGATAGATAGATAGATAGATAGATAGATAGATAGATAGATAGATAGATAGATAGATAGATAGATAGATAGATAGATAGATAGATAGATAGATAGATAGATAGATAGATAGATAGATAGATAGATAGATAGATAGATAGATAGATAGATAGATAGATAGATAGATAGATAGATAGATAGATAGATAGATAGATAGATAGATAGATAGATAGATAGATAGATAGATAGATAGATAGATAGATAGATAGATAGATAGATAGATAGATAGATAGATAGATAGATAGATACACACACAAAAGATAGATAGATAGATAGATAGATAGATAGATAGATAGATAGATAGATAGATAGATAGATAGATAGATAGATAGATAGATAGATAGATAGATAGATAGATAGATAGATAGATAGATAGATAGATAGATAGATAGATAGATAGATAGATAGATAGATAGATAGATAGATAGATAGATAGATAGATAGATAGATAGATAGATAGATAGATAGATAGACAGATAGATAGATAAATAAATAGACAGATCTCCTCCTCAGAAGCCCCACAAGTGTAAAACGACCGATGACGCCTGTTCTGTGTTGGTTAATGTTAGGGTGATATATATATATTAGTTATCAAGCTAGGCATTTATCTACACATTTAATACTGTTTCAAGTATTTATTTAATTCGGCATGTTATTATTATTGTTACAGAACTAAACAAGGTTTCGACACCGTAAGGCCCCTCGAAAATGTGTGATGGAACTAAGAAACTTCCGCCACAGCGTTTTCTTCCAGTCTAGACCCCTGCACAAGGAGTGACTTGAGTTAACTTAGTCTGCGCAATCTGTGTAAAGTCACATAAATATTATACTAGGAAATATGACGTTCTTTCGACTTTTTTAAAGTTAGCAAACAATCATACTTCAGCAGCATCTGTCTGTTACTGTACCAATGTAACTGTTGTGCTATTTTGCTAAAAGATTTGGAAAGCTGTTGAGACTTTGACCGGTTGAAGAAACTAAAATGTCCGTTGTTTTTGCCACCTCAGTCCTAATATCACTTAATATTGGCGCTATGGAGGGATCATCCAAAGCCGAGTTGTTTATAGATACCAACGCTGGTGGTGGTAAACAAAGTAGTGGTGCCAACAGCAGTAACACTTCCCTTCCAGTCTCTGAGGAGGAGCGTCGTCGATACATAGCAGAGCTTCAAAGGGAGACAACAAAGACGATGATACCTGCACTGGTGTTTCTTGCCACCTTAGCCGTGGTTGGTCTAGTTGGCAACTCTTTGGTCATTATCGTGTACTCCCGCAAGTTTCACTTGTCAGCAACGGCAACCCTTATCATCACAGCAGCCTGGCTTGACCTCTTTGCAAACGTCACCGCAATTCCTGGTAAGTCACTTATTGATGAGGTATGTTATTGTCTTGGCATATTTTTAGACGTTAGTATTCTGTTTTCCTATAACTAGACACGGGAATCACCGCACATGATGATGCTAGTTAAGATCAGGGGTGAAGTTTCTCTTATGTATATTTAAATACAAATGGCAAAAGAAGTGCTTAGGGTTTCTTAGCAAAAGTTCATGGTCGACGTTTTTTGCAGGAGAGCCTAGCATACGATACCACAAAATCTAGCTTAAGAATTGAGGTGGAGGCGGTCACTGCGGCTTTCCGCTGGTTAGAGAACATGACACAGACACACATTGTGATTGTAACTGATGCAGAAAGCAGGGTGAGGAAGGTCAGGACAGGCAATCTTCGTGCAGAGTAGCATGCTTCACTGCGGAGGATACGAGTGAGGTGTATTATCTTGATTTTTTTCTCCGGATTTGCCGGTGTGGTGGGAAATGAACAGGCGGACAGACTGGCTGGCTCTGCACAACTTGGTGGAATACTGATGCATGGTAGGGCAGACGTGGTTAGTGCCTTGTGGGAGAGCGTGTAGAGTTCGTAGGAGCAGATGGACCACCCCAGTCTGGTGAGATTGATGCAGCGGGGAGTGACAAGGGGTTCTGGCAGATGCTCGAGGCTCAGAGAAAAGGCAGAGAAAAGACGTTTAATCAGAATGCTTCTGGCACCATTAGTATCGAAACTCTGCAGTGGCTGCTGAAGATGGGGACGGAGCGCTTATGGGGATGCCCCGAGTGCTGGGATATCGGTTCCTGAATCAAATCAACTGAAGTTCCTCCTCTCTATAGCACAAAGCCTGGACAGTATTGTAGAGACCATGTGGTGCTCAACCAGCAGGATTCCTGTCTTGGCCGGCTTTGTTAACTCCAAAGGAAAGGTAACACCAAAACGTTTGAAATTAAGCATGCTAATGACGCTGCCAGATCAGAGGAGTACTCTTCTTTTAGTCCACTTTTCAGAGCTTTCCATCAGTTAAACAAATGAAAGCTGTTTCATCTTTGAGTTAATTTGAACAAATAACACAGAAAGAGCTGATTACAGAATTTATTGCCTCTCATGGTTGAAATGGTTTTGAACTTTTGTCTTCCCTGGTACAAAGGCTGCTGCATAAGAATGTGGCAGATAGTTATTTTATCAGTTAAAAGGATATGTTATTTATCATATTTGTTTCTTCTCCCTTTTTTTCTTTCGCCTTTTAATCTCCAATGGAGCATAGGTCCTCAAACAACTCCAGCCAAGATGTCCTATTCCGTGCCATCTAATGCAGTACTGTGTGGGAACAGCCGGCTACCTGGCCTGAGGCTGACTGAGAAAGAGATTGGTGGAGGGAAGTAAAAGCAATACGATACTAACACAAGCTAGGCAGATAACAAGAGGCCGGCAACTGCATGTCTCTCTGCGACGTTTTGCGACACAAGTAGTATGACAAAAGAAGAAGTAGACGATTCTCATTATCTTTGTTTTTCTTTTACGGATTTTTAGACATAACTATTGTGATCGCTCGTCAACTATGTTTTTTTTAATCTTTTCATGTGATTTCGTGAGTGAGATAGGATAGAAATGTCATCAGCGAAATTCAAATACTCAAGCTGTTTTATATTGGTCCACTTAATTCCATTCCTGCCGTTTCCGTTATCATAATGGAGTCAATTACTAGTTTTTAAAAATTGCAGTAGCAACACAATCTCTTCAGATTTCAAATGTATCTGTCAATTTCCCTGATAAAGAACTTGACATTTCATGTCTTTATATGTTGCTTTTACTACGTTTATAATTTTTTTCGGGATCCCTTGGCGCCTCATACATTTGTAGGAGATTCCCTATCAGTTTGGTCATAGGAATTTTAAAAATAAAGTGACATTAATTTGTTTGTTCGATTTTTTCCCCTTATTAAAGCTGGCGTTGGGTCCCATTTTGACCCAGCCTATAATGGATTCCAAATGATGTCTTTAGAAGTAAAGACTGATGCTGACCACATTACCCATCTAGTGCAGATCGGTCTTTGAAAATATAAGCCTGGCTTCATTCGCCCAATACCCCAGTGGCATGAAAAGGGCCCAGAACTTAATTTTACCTAATTTACTTGTACTTCATCTGGGCAACTGGTGAAGACACAAGAGTCCCTTTTCTTGTGTATCATTTCAAGGAAGACGTTTTCAAGCTAGAGTGCCACACTGCTGTCATGGTGCGAGGCTCAAAGTGCCCAGGCCATACACGAAGGAGGGTCAGTCTCTCCCAAAAGCGACTTCAGTTCCCGGAACATTTCATGTGATAGTTCATCAACAACAGCAAAAACCAACAACACGGTCAATAGTTTTTGAACTTAGATGCCAGCGAAGCCTAACCAGGGCAACAGATGTCCGCAGAAGTGGGATGTGTCGTCCGAGGGGCGTAAATACAGCAGCACCGTTGTGGAAAAGTGCGCTGCATCTACATCATCAGATGCCAAAACTGCCAAAAACTGCCTTTATTACTACTTTTGTGGTGAAGACAGGAGGGTCTTTGAGCTTGAGGATATGCGGCCCCATGGCTAGTGCTGTCGCCTCGACTGTTCAGGGGAAATTTGTATTTTGCCCCCAGAGAAAATAAACCCGACCTTACCGAATATTCGAACCCAGGTCTCCCTCTTGAAAACCCAGTGTTCCAACCGTTCAGCCAACAGCCCCTCTTATCTTCCGATAAACACAGGAAAAGAAGACTGGTGGAAATTTCTGGACTTTAGTCTTGTTCCAAAACAGAAGGTATGCGTGCACCTCTGTTTTACGGAATGATTTATTTGTACGCAGACTCTGTCGCAGGCAGACGATCCAGGACTTCGAAGAATACACCACTGAAAGTCTCCTGTATACAGAATCGTTTTTATTAACTTCAGCATAGTTTTTTGGTTGAATTAAAAAGGGTAACTCGAGTTACCAGGGGAAAGGGTAAATCTAGTTAGCAGGGGATCTGGCCAACGCACAACACTCACGGGAAATTTGAGACGGATATACAATCAAACAGGTACTGCTACCATTAGAAATGGAACTCTTGCTAGCTGCTGAAGATGGAGACGGAGCGCTTATGGGAGTTCTCCCAGGTGCTGTGAAGTAGATTCTTAATTCAACATTCCTTTTTTTTTTTTCGTTGACACAATACCAGTAATTAGTTTTGGAATTTGCCTCCCCCGATCATGGCCGCCACCTGCAGCTGCACATCTTGCGCGGTGCTTAAATAACGGTCCTGATTTTATGTTTCAGGGGAAATGTACAACATGCTTCATAAATGGGACTTCGACAATCCTATTTTATGCAATGCTCGATTCTACTGTTCAGCCTTCCCTACTATCTCTTCAGCCATGATTCTGGTTGCACTGGCGGTGGTAAGGTAGGTACCACTTTCTATAATCTTCTCCTTTTTCTTTGCTTTATTCCCGTCTTCTGCCAATAGGAGAGAGCACTGGCCATCAACCTACACATGACAAGTCTTCCTATGCTTTACTATTGCATGCAGCTAACACTGTGTCCTCTTAACTTTTGTTATCTACACTCTCTACCACCCTTCCTCATGTTTGTTTGGGTCCTATTCACGTTTCCTGGCCTTTCTACACACTTTCTTATTCTGGTCTAGGTCTGAGGGGTGGCAGGTTATACTGGTTTCTTCGAAAAGCGTCTCCAGTGGGACCTAGGCTCAGACTGTGGGTGGTGTGGGGTTGGAGGGGGGGGGGGGGGGGTTTAGGTTCTAGATATTCTGGGGTCGTTAAAAGCTGTGTCATCGTGTAGTAAATAACACGTGACATCGGCGCTGATGTAATTAGAGGCAAGACAACATTACACCCCTCTGACATAGAACAGTCTGAGAAAGTATAAATGAAAGGTCAGCCTTTGTGTAGATGGGCTGGGAAACGTAAATATGACCTTTTTTTTTTTTAATAAAAAATCTATAACTTTAAGTATGAGGACGGAGGTGAAAGCAATCAATGCAGCTCTGAGGTGGATAGTAGGGAGGGGGGAAGAAGGGGGGGGGGGGGGGGGGGTTAACGCTTGAAAATAAGTGATGTTATTGAGTCTCAAGGTGTCAGTGATTCCTACAATCTGTATTCTTCTCGGTCTTCCCCTGCCTCTTGGTGTTTCGATTTTCAGGTTGTACGCTCTTGCTGTTGGCATCGTTGTTTTCATTCTGATTAGATGGCCACACCATTTCATTCTTTGTTTCCCAATAAATGGTGATGGGTGTTGTTCCAACAGTCATTTTGTGTTAATTATGTTTTACTCAGGGTTCACTTTTGAAGATGATAAGCATACATTTGACAATAAATAGTTTGTATTTGATTTGCCTTAGTAGATATTGAAATACTTCTGTGTGTCAACAGTGGTGTTAGGATCAGGTTTGTTTTAGTACACCTTTGGTTGATTTATCTATCCATTCATCCTTGTAATGTTGGGGCCGCGTTAGCACAGTTTCGCTGCAGCCCACGGTCGGTGTTCGAAACTGGGCAGTTCCCGGGGTTTACCCAGCCACTAGGAAATAGGTACCAGAGTGACACCCTGGGGTAAATGGAGGAACGTCGCTGTAGCTACAGTGTTACGTGCAAACAGCGACACAGGAGGACAATTATTATCAGCTATCCGTACTGGTGGCAGAGCACTTATGGTTTATAACCGTGTGCAGTGACGTTGGTTCACATCAAACGACTTTACATGTACCTTTTTTTATCTTCTAATATGACAAGGGACCCTAGATATCTAAATTCATTTGTTTGGTTTCACCTCTGTGGCACTACATTCATTGATTTGCTGAGACGTCCTTCTATTTTTGATTGTGTTTCTCCAGTGGAGTTATGTTTCAATGTAACATTTTCAAATTGGTTGTCTCCCGTGTGGGTTTTGTGGCCTCATTTCGGCGTGGAAAAAAGAATTGACCCACTGCCCCTTATGAAGCATGTCGTAAAAGGCTACTAACTAGAGTAGTTTCCTACGAGTCAAACGGAGTCCATCTGCCTGAAAGGCGAGAAATCAACAATCTGCCTATAGGTCATATATGTAAAACGGATCTGCATACAAAACTCAAGTCGTGGATCAAAACCAAAGTCCAAAAGTAGATGAACAAGCACAGGAGTTTACAGCTGGTGAATAAGTGGTTGCGATCATAGTTTATAATTCTAAAATACCTGGTTAGATTCTAGCTGCGGACGATCTGGTAGTAGAACGCTTTGTGTTAACCTCAACAATGGTTTCGAGAACCGACCGATCAGTTGCAATGGCAAACTACTGAACTTACAAATTGCCTGAAAATATTATAAACAGAGCAAAAATGCTGGGGTGGTTGGCAACGTCCTCTAGACACTTGAACCGTGCTCTTCAGCCCATATTTGACATATGGACCGACCAGAAAAATAGAGGAAACTGTATCATGAACCTCAAGACAGCTAATTGAAACAAAACTCAAACAAGAAAGAAGTTTATAAACTAACAACTAAGCCACACAGATACAATGTTCATCAGATGCGCCATCTGCTGTGTTTTTTGCTTGATTTCATGGCTGTAAACTCCAACGGAGAGACCTGGCTGTTTGTCGGTTTATGGACTTTGTTCCAGTACTTAGTTTTACGTGTCTGGCTTATTTGTATGCAGACTGTCGGCTCCTCGCGTCTCCACGAAATACACACTGACTTCGAAGAAGATGCCGCTAGCTAGACGCCTATTATGACATGCTTGTTTAGAGGTGGCAGCGATGGGGAGGGAGGGGGGGGGGAGAGAGTGGCATCATCTGCTTTGAAGTTAGTAAATTTGATGTGCGTAGCTGCGGCGTTGTTTCTGACAGATAAAGCACTGCAGAAACCATTCACTGGATTGGGGTTTGGTTTTAATAAACTGACATGGCTGAGAAAGTCGTTTTCCACAAATAGTTACTGGAAACGAGACACGGTAGACCAGTGAAACACTTTCGCATATCATCACTAACTAGGTAATATGTATATATATATGTATATATATATATATATATATATATATATATATATATATATATATATATATATATATATATATATATATATATGCAAGTGTGTGTCTAATTCTCCCCCAGATATCGAAAGGTGTGTCACCCACACAAGTGGCAGGTCACAGAGGAAAACGCTAAAGTGATCAGCGCCGTCATACCTATTCTAGGAGCGCTATTCGCTATTCCACACGCGATCCTGGGAGGAACACAAACAAAGGAAACACCTCATGGCGGTATCGTCGGATATACGTGCAGCATCGATGATAGGTACAAAAAAACTAAATTGCCACTCTTCAGCTATGCACTTCTTCTACTGTTCTACATTGATTGCTCAATAACCCTCATTGCACTGTATACTCTTATTGGGTTAACAGCTCGTAGACACAAAAGATTATATGGTGTATCCGTGCCTGGAACTGCGTATACAACCAGTAAATACGACACTAACGCAGATGAGTTTACTTCCGACCAAAATCGGTCTAACTGTATCATATGTGGAAGCCCCACTAAGAAGAGTGCAGGCTCGCCGATGAATAGCGAGTCCACTCTCCAAGACTCCAGCCGTCTTGGGAACATTAACCTAAAAAGATTTTATTACGCACCTAACGAGGCAAACAGGGTCCCAGTCCAGTACGAGATACGTGTTTTCCCAGAACGGATTGAGATTCGAACTCCTACGGTAAAGGACTTCTTTGTTAAACTACAGAATACAAATCCGGGTGTCGCAGAGATCGCCAGCTACGGAAAAGGTATCAGATCAGACACAACGCGGACGACTGACGAAACTATGAACACTTGTCGATCACAAAATATTTCAGTAAAAACTAATTTACTGTTTGACAAAAGTGTTCACAATCTCAATGGAACAGACATTGATACACATTCACAGTCAGCATCAACGCAAATTGCCGCAAGTGAGTTCTCGAATGAATCTGACCCTTTATCAGATTTTAAATGGCTGGACATTGTCTATTGCCCTGACGATGGACACAATACATTCTGCTCAAACTGTATCCAGAGAGAAACCAGCATCTCTTTCAGGCTACCTCTCAACAACAGCTTACTACAAACAATAGAATGGTTGAGATCCAGTGTTATTGAAGCTCTGACAAGACAAGATGATACGACAAGAAAGACTAGTGACTTTCTTAGAGCCAGCATCACGCCTATAGACAAGAGCCAAATCAACAGTAACACTACCCGTACATTCTCTGGCAATGCCACAAAAATCACAGCTCCGTTGGATCTACACCCGAGTTTTCTTCGACGCAGATTTCATATACCTATATTCAGACGAGTTTCCCTAATTAACGTTGGAGGTTATCCAGCATGCAAAAGGCCTACTGGCAGAACGACCACTATGTTAGTTCTCCTTAGCGCCTTTTATATCATTGGTTATCTTCCACACTTAGCAATTATGATTGTTAGATTACTAGTGCCACGAGTAATAAAAAATTTATCTTTTGTAGGCAATATTTTCTACAACGTGGTAGCGCGTAGTTACCTAGTAAACTGTGCAGTAAACCCAATTATTTATAGTTTGTGTGACAGCAACTTTCGCCGGGAGTGTATACAAATGTTTAAAAGGTTCAACGTTCCTGAAATATGACAATACCTGTATTTATTCTCTGCATTGTTATCGCAATCCTGTTTGAAAACAATAAACCAATGTCTCTGGCTTTCCAAGTCTCGTATGTTTCAACTGCTAGTTTGCCATGTCATTAAGTCTTCTTCGTTTGTTGTCACACGGCTAGAAGTATTATGGTTTTCTGTGTTTGTCTCTTTGTGGTCGATTACGTTCGGAATATCGTGTACTTCACCATTTTACCCCGAGAACTCTAAAATTTTTTTGGCAATTACCCCATAAAATTTCCTGAAAAAAAAAAAAAAAAAAAAATCAGGAAACCCCCCGCTCCCCTTCCCCCCAACAATTTATACATCGGTCACTATTAAATTCGATGACAACCAATTTATCTACATTTAAAAATTAGTTTTCGACATATATTAAGATATATGAAAGAAGGAATCAATAAACATGAACGGTTTGAAAGATTAAACTGAATACATTCCCAGTTGCCTAACACTCACGTATTTGGTGACTCATTGGTGTGACCCTGTGACCTTTACCACCGAGGCATTTAGGAAAATCTAAGTCATCTTGGCTTTTAAAAGCTCTTTAGCACAAAAGAAAACCCCTCTAAATACTAATATTTGATAATGTATTTATATACTGAACCCAAAAACGTTTGCGCAGGTGAGAGCGCAGTCAATTGCATTACCCATACATCTCGTAAACAGGTCACAACAGGCAAGCAGAAAAAATTAACGGGCAATTGTCCTAACGGGAAGTGTCTGTAGATTTGTTTCGGCTTCTAGAGAAAAAAGTAATGTCGGCTTTCGTAGTTGACGACTGTTTGCATCGATAATGGGCTACAGTTTTGGCCGAATGCGGTTAGTACTGGCACATTTAAAGGTTGCCTTATGCCTGTTCTGTGCGTGTGCGAGCTTCAAATTTTGCTCTCTGGTATAAGTTTCACTAGTTTTTTTTTTATTTTTTTTTAAAGAGGAAAGAATACCATTTGAATACGGTGCACATACTTCTCCAACTGCAGTTATCTGCTTTACTAACCCGCTGGGTAGCAGCAGCACTGTTTCATGGACAGGTGATACTCAGGTGTGGTTGTTGGTCCTTAGAATCGATAACCATCAGTCCAGGATTGCCTCAAGCCTCTCCGCTGTCTCCAGTTCTATTTAATGTGTACACAGTGCTAATAACTGAGCAGCAATTGCACGGAAGTGGCAGGACCTTGTCATTTGCTGATGACGTCTTGGTATACCGACACGGAAGAGATCGTCAAGGGATTGCCAGTTCAATGCACAGTGAACTTGATTGCATCTCTCTCCTGGTGTCTAGATTCTAATGCTCATATCAATCCTTCCAAGGCCTAAGTAACGTGTTTCTCCTGGAACACGCATATATTGAAGGCAGCCTTAACAGCAGTGGAAAGCAGCGAGGAAATTTTGTCGAGACTAAATCTGATAACATACCTCGGTTTGAGGTTTGATCGGAGCCTGTCCTTTAAAGAACCTGTTGACCATGTTAAAACAAAAGCACGCAAAGGCCTATCAGCAATGTGGGTCCTGGCCGCCGCTAATACTAATCAGAGACTTTCTTCTCCATTGAGATGAGACATTTGTGCTGCTCGCTCTTCATGCAGAAGAGATCAAGAAGCCAGCGGTGCCTTCTCCATGACCACCAGCAGCATGACGGTGGAGGTGATGGCGGTGACACAGGCTTTTATGTGGCTAGAATCACAGGACTGTTCCCGCGTGTGTGTGCTGAGTTATTCTTTGAGCATGGTCCGGTGGATCGAGGCAGTCTGGTTACACAGACAGTGAATTGAGTCATTGCAAAACTCTCGTGTGTGTGCAGTTACCTTTATATTTGTCTCATGGCATGCACAAATTGTTGGTCATAAAGAGCTGATAGACTGGCAGGTGCCGCATTAATTGAAGATAGCCAGCCCAAGGATCACGCAGACATTGTCAATGCCTTGAGAGAGATAGGACTTCCCAGGATTGTGAAAGCAATATATCTACATCATTGCCAAGAATAAGGGAATTGGGAGCAAAGATCTGCACATCCAAGCGTGAGAACGCCGGACGCACATGAAGTCTTGTCAACCATCGAAGGCCTGGCACTATTCATCTTGCAACGCTGTGCTGTGAAGATAATTCACCTGATAACTCATACCTCACAAAAGGGGAAATTGAACACAACTGTGTGATTTCCACTAGCACAGTCACAGAGCAATTATGAGGACAGACCTTTAGGAGCGAGTGAACAGTGCGAGGCACAGATAGATGATTACTGTATGAGGAGAATGACGCTGCCAGGAGTAACCAGGAAATCTAGCTGACGCTCGACACTCAGGGGAATGGCGAGACGGATATGCAGTCAAATAGTTACTGGTACCAGCGGAATTTTAAATCTTCGCTTGCTGCCGAAAGATAGGGACGGAGCGCTTATGGGGGTGTCCCGAGTGATGTGATGTCGATTCCGAATTAAAAATTCAGCATTCGAGGACAGCCGTCTGAAGTGAAGTTTAAATCTCGACCAAACCTCGAGCTTGTTTTGCTGGTATGACCTTGGCGCTTGTCTTGCTGTTATGACCTTGGCGATTGTCTTGCTGTTATGACCTTGGCGCTTGTCTTGCTGTTATGACCTTGGCGCTTGTCTTGCTGTTATGACCTTGGCGCTTGTCTTGCTGTTATGACCTTATCGCTTGTCTTGCTGTTATGACCTTGGCTCTTCTCGAGTTGCTTGTATCATTAAAAAACAAAACAAAAAACGATTACAAAGGATACAGGTTTGGGAAAAAGATGTAAAGACCGATCTTAGGGAAGATGGGTGCAAGACATTGTCTATGAAAGCACATAGGGCTGAAGAATTGGCTACAGAAATAGAAAATGTCACCCCTAACTGGACGAGAGTGACATTCTGTAATGAAGATGATGATGTAATTCCGATAGTCTTCTCTATAGTTCTCAGGTCAACACAAGCGTGCCTCGCGTGTACATAGCACCACACTGAGACATGAACACTCTCATCACTTTGCCAGTTGTATATCGAATTTCGGTTTGCCGAGAATGTTTGTTCCTGTTCCTGGTTACTTCATCAAAATGTTGTTTGGTGTCTTTCGTTGTTTTGTTAAATTACCTATTAAAGCATGGATGACAAATTTTTAAAAAAAAAGGGGGATTGGGGGTGGGCGGGCGTGGAAAAAAAAGGGGGGGGGGGGGGGGGAACCAACGTTGCAGTGATTATGGAAGGGAAACTATTCGTTATAAAGCGACTGCACAATGGGGTAACGGGGCAAACTATTGCTTCAGAGTTGTCTAAAAAGTACAATGGAGACCGGAAGACAAATCGGGCAAAAATTAAAAAGTATAGTGCTGCACAATCTAGTGAAAATGGGATAAAAGTAAGAAAACTGATGGTGAAATGTGAACATAAAGATAGTTATACTAGATATCATCAGGTGGATAGCCGATAACAGCGAAGAGATTCCAGTTATAATATTTAAAAGGTTTTGCAAGCTGTTTTGAACCATAAAGGTGCATTTCTCAACTCTGAATCCGTGGGTGAAACCAAAGTAGAAGATGAACACTTGTCTCACCGCTGGAAAAAGTACCGTGATATGAAGACGTCAATCCAGATGCTTTTACAGAATGGACAAACTTGAAGAAATAACTGACAAAGAATTGTCAAAATAGTGATAGAACAGTTTGAGGAGGAGACATCCTTACACGACAAGAACAATCTCATTCCACATACAGAAGGCAGGAAGTCGACTGAGACAGCGCTGCAACATATTAGTGAGAACGAGGAAGCCACCCAGCAGACATAATCTGCTTAGGTAGGTGGAGACAAACTGCGTCGAGAAAGATTGCAAAATGTGTGAAGCAGTTATCTATCAAGGATTTTTTTTTTCGAAATCCAAACTGTCAGTTTCGACTTTTTCATCTCCGGCCGACCTTTTCCTATTTGTATAAATACTTATCTATCGGTAGTTTTAAAAAATGTGTTTATATTTTTGTAAATAAGCCTGCGTTTTGCGTTAATGTTTTGTTCATTTTAAATGTGTGTGTTTGTGTGTGTGTGTGTGTGTGTGTGTGTGTGTGTGTGTGTGTGTGTTCGTGTTGTTCGGTGTACATGATTTTATTTTCCTGCGGTTAAATTAGAGATGAAATTTTTTTAAAAAGTGTAAGCAAATTTTTTTTTAAATTTTGAACATCCTGTTTGAGTAATGTCTGTTTAAAACGTTTTATCTTCCTTTTTTTTCTCAGTTAATTGTAGTTTAGTTTTTTTTTAGTATTTCTACTCTTAGCTGCCTGTTCTTCATTCACCTCTAGCTAATCTATCAACATAAACTATTTAATCTCGCACTGTGCAACACTGTCTCCTTGTAATCTTCTTCATCCATTATTTCTGGTCCCATTGTTTGAAGTTAGAAGTTTCAACAACTGATCAACATCATGGCACACGGGCAGTAACCATTAAGTGCACCGTTCTTCTTCTAAATCAAGTATGAGTCCAAAGAGGTTCAGCACAGTGCACAGGCTCTGTAGCATCGGCGATGATCCTGAGATAGTTTGGGTAGATTTTTTAACTCCAAATGTTGCCAGGACAGCGTCGTGAGGCTACTCTTTTCGATTTCCAACTGCCAAGGGATTTTTTATGTGCATAATAATGCACGCGGGCGTCCGGTCTCGCTACCCAGAGACAATAGGGAATTACTTGAAGTCCAGATCCACGTAAACAAATCCCAGCCCTTACCGGGGATTGAACCCGGAACCTCTAGTACTCGAGGCGGACACCATTGTCCCATAGTTTTGACATTCCGTATAGTAAAGTAAAGGACTCTTTTCCACGCCTTTAGGCGTAGTGGACACATAGGGCACGATATATATTTTATAGACCAATAGTGGTGGGTGATGGGGACGGCCTTTACTTCCAAGGACCGCACTTGGTAGCCACTTAATCCGGGTCGACCTGACAGGTCAAGAAAAAGTCTGGCTTCATCAGGATCCAAACCCCCAACCTTC